CATAGCTTTAGTTATCTTTCAGGCAATTGTCTTCCAAAGACGCACTTCAATTACGGCTCAAATAACGTCTGCCTCTCGCCTTCACCGCACAGAGTAAATGAAAATGTGCCAGACATTTCTGCTGTTCATGGCTCACAAATTCTTACCCCTGATGTTGACTGTCAGCCATATGTGATGTTGGCAGCATGTCCTTTCCATTCTCTACAGAAGAAAGGGAGAGAAAAAGAGGATATTTTAGTATGATCAGAAGTATTCTTTGCTTCCCAATAAAAAGAACAGGCAAGAAGCTAATTTAAATACCAATCTACAAGTGCTGTGCACAAATTCCTCTGTATGTCAGTGCTGCTTGTGCAGAAGGGATTCTGTACGTCTTTGCCCAAATGTCTCTAATTTGAGAATATTAAGTTGTGTGTAAATCTTGCATTGGATCTCTGGGGGAAGCTATCAATAGCTAGTGCCTAACATCTGGCAACATATTTGCAGAAAGCAATTTATTAATTCAGTGGATTCAGCTCCATTTCCTGTTTGCAGCACATCCAACAAAACAGACCCTCATTGTTATTCCAAATGCGTGCACAATTCCATTTTTATTTCAGGCCTGTTTTATTTGTACATATTCTTGGTTAAAGAAGGTCACAGGCACTCCCCAGGTTTAAGCACAACCGTCCCGTCACATGGTGTTTTCCCGTCTGGCTGAAACCTCTGTGAAGAGCTGGCTGCCGCACAGGCATGAACACAGAGCGGATTCTTCTGCAGTGCCTTGGCTGCAGGAGGGAGAGCTCCCTGAGTTCAGCTCTGCCGTTCTTGCTCAGCGAGTCTTTGCTACCCTACAGGGTCCTTGGCATGATCGGGGCAGGTTCCCTGGGACAGAAGTTTACAGGGAAGGACGCCCAGCTCCACCAGACTGCTCTCACGGTGCAGAGCCTGCCTGGACAGAGCCGTACCCACACGGCCTGGGGAGCAGCAAGTCTTCCCAACCTCTGGCCCACTGCCAGCTCCGCTTTCCTAAGGGGAGAAAAAAGAGTAATAAAATATATATCTTTACAACATCTTTCTGAAATGTCATAACAGTATTGCATAAGATTAACTGTATCAGGAATCTCAGACCTTTTCAGGAGAGGGAACCTTCTTGGACCACTTCTTGCTCAGACATCAGCGTGTATCTCCAGCAAGAGCTCTGCCACCTGACGCAGCTGAGGTGGGTTCCTGTGAGCATGGCTTGCAGAGGTGACCTGGTTCTGCTAATTTTCTTCTGCAAGGGCTCTGAATACAAGACCTGAGATATTTAATGATGTGTAGGCGTTGCTCTATTTAGGATTGCAAAACTTTCATGACTTAGCTCAATCTTATCTTCAGAAGTGACTGAGGTCCTCGGGAGCTTGAAGAGTCATAGCAGGATTTTAAAAACTGGTTGTAACATGATTTGGTTTCACTTGCACAGGCAGAAATGTCTATAAGGGCTCTTCGCTGTTCATGGACCTTGCTAATACTCATAGCTCTGTTTTGTGCTGCCATGTGGGACACGTTCAGCATCTGACACAAAGCCCCAAGGTACCTGCCCCAAGAAAGCTGCCCACAGAACGGACTAATTCTCGACAGGACCTCCAATGTATTTCATGGGACAGTTATCAGCCAGCTGGAGGATACCAATCTTGTTGCATGGTACTTTACAACAAACCAAAGCTGCCTTATAGCATTTGCTTTCAAGATCCATCCTAGGGAAAAGGGAAAGAAACCCACAGACTTGAAGGAATACTTAAGAGGAAGGGGTAGAGAATGTCTACACACCCTAAATCCTCACAGACTAGAGCATTAGCTGATGGCAAAGCCTATCCAAGCAGATACCAGATGGGAAGGAGCTGAGTGATGTACTGGGAGTCAAAAGCAAAAGGGAAAAAGCAAAACATTTTACTCTATTTTGCCAGGAAAAATGGAGTTTATATAATCACTTTGTAAGTATATCTGTGCTTCTTTCTTTTTCCCGCTTCTCCCCTTTTAATCAAAATGAAGGAACTTTCCATAACTTCAATAAAAATAGATGGCCAAGTGGAGAAGATGCTCTTCAGAGCTGCAGCACAAACATTTTTTTTCTTAGCAAAGAACTCAGAAGGAAAATTAATCCTGTAGAAATGCCCTCACTAGAGGAAAAGTTCCAGTAGGAGAGAGCAAGTTCTTTGAGCACTGACACCGGGCAAGATCTGCTTACAGGAGACCACTGGCAAAATCATTATCCTCCACTGTACACCCACCCTGCAGCGGGATAACAGCTCTGCTTTTGAAAGATACAGACAGCAGTTTCAAGGTAAATCAGCATCAGCTCCTGTTCATCCTAACAAAATGTGTGTTATAAGCCATAGCAGAGACACAGATTCTTTATGTCAGTCAAAATCTGTAGAATATCAAATTTCAGTTTCAGTTGGTATTGGTATTAAAAAAATATTTGCTGAAGAAGAGTTGGTTCCTTGAGGCAACAGCAGGGAATTAGAGAACAGAAGGGAAAGCGACTTGAGAAGACGGCAGTTGAGTTGAGTGACTGTAAAAGTGAAGGAAGAAAAAGCTTAGTAACAAAGATGCAAGAGTGGAAATAGCCAAGTAGCAATAGAGAATCAACAGAGAATCAGCAGAGATTGTTTATGAGCGTGAAAAGAGGAGATCACCAAGATATGAAATAGGGAAAAGACAAGAAATGAAGATGACCAGGGGCCAAAGTTGAGTGTGAAGTTGTTTGTGAAAAGTTGTTTGTGAAAACAAATAAACAAAAAAGAAAAAAAAGAAAAAAGAAGAAGAAGAAGAAAAAAAAGAATCGTTTGGAGGCTACTTCTCATAATTTCCTTGCCAATCCTTTCTGCTTTGGAGCAAGCTTTTCTCATCACCATTTCTAGAAAAGCTCTTTCTGCTGAATCAAAAGGCATTTATTCTCCTTGACTTTCCATGGTGCTTAGTGTTGCTGCTTTGTAGGTGCAAGAAAACAAGATCCAAAAGGAGGAAACTCACACGTTATTCAGAGATGAACTTGGGCAGTTCACAAGGGTTCTGGTCTGGAGCCTCTTTGCCACTCAAAGAGCCTCCCCTCCTACACGTACCTGAAGGCACACATCTATATCTGGCACTTACACAGTATTTGAAAACACCTGATTTCCCAAGTAATTAAACTGTTGTAAACATTGCCACAGAATAAATGTTTCTGCTTTTGGAAAGCATCTGTGTTCCTCTCAATCTGGAAGCATACTTTCATACAGAAAGACAGATGGACACGACAGGGGAAACAAGGATGTAACAGACTTTGACTAGTCAAACTGCTTGAAGCCATTTCAGACAGAAATTAGGCTTGATGGAATTCTTTAGCTCTGTTCCCCAAGGAAGTGTAGGCCAGAACCTTAGGAAAAATACTTGGAAATCACTTGGCAGATGAATCCTTCAGCTATTCTATGCACGTGACACACACTAACCATTTGCAGCTTGTTAACGTGAAAGGGTGCTTTATTTTGTTTCATTACAGATTCAGTCCAGTTCACAGAGAACACATTAGTTAATACATATCTTCACTTTGTAGGAGAAATGGGCATGAACACATGAGCACTCAGTCTCCAGTCCTTTACAGCCAATTTACGCCATTTTCACCTGGAAGCAGATGCAGATCTCAAAAACATCATGCATGGCACAGAGTTTTCATGAACATCTCGAATAGCAGCACTGTCATGTCATTGCTGCAAACACAGGAAAGGAGGATAAAAATCTCAAGGACTGTAAAACTTGGGGAAAAAATGGATTTACATTTTGAATTCCATTTTTGACATAAGCGGAAATTTTGGTTAAAAAAAAAAAAAAAAAAAACCTAAAGCGTGTTTTTCCTCGAGACACCAGTCTGAGTTCAGGGTATGGAGGCAGCCCTCGCCCTAAGCTGACATAGGGAGAGACGGCCGAAGACTTGGAGCGCCCAGAGCCGCCTCCAGCCGGAGGGAAAAGCAATCCCAGCCCAGCAGAGCTCCTACGTTAAACCTTCCTAAACTTCCTTTTTTGCAACAGCAACCAGTGAGGAAGGCGAGGGTGTCTGCAGCTCACCCTGGCAGCGCGGCCAGCACCCCTTCGCTGTGGGCACCCCGGGGCGGTAGCGCCGGCCAGGCCTCCCAGCGGGGCCTCGCGGTGCCCCCAGTGCCCGGCAGCTCCCTGCTCCCTCCGCAGCCCCAGCAGGGTGCAGGGAGCGCGGTGAGCGCAGCGTCGCCCAGCGCCAACGCTCCCATCGCACACGGGCACCCGCTACTCTTCCCTCCGCTCAAAGAGCTACGGAAAACGAAAAAACGCAACACGGGCGAGAGAGATGGACAACAAGAGCAACCGGTTAATTTAATCTACAAGGTACAGAGAATATTCTGCAACCTGTGAAATGCAAGCGCAACACAGCAAATTCCATTAGCCCCCACACATAAAGTGATTACATTTTGAAAAAGTTTTGAAGAAATGTCCAACGTTCATGCCCAAGCTCCTCAAAGTTTTCAACACAGCATCTTACAACTGAGAAAACACTGTTTTAACTTTTTATTTGTAAACCAGATTCAAAATACTTTGCAATATACCTTTTATTTTAAAGAAACAGCATTTAAGAACTGAAAGAACAGCATGGTGTTAAATGTTAAGGACTGTAGTTTTTTAAAAAACTTTGATTTAAAAAAAAAAAAAAAAAAAAAAGGTTATAGAGGTACGATGAATTTAAGTTGCATTTTAAAGTCAGCTACTTGGGCACCTAAGTGTTTTTACATGAAGTGGAAGTCCGGTCACAGCTGGGCTGCGCTCAGGGGGAAGGAGGTTCTGCCCTGGCAGCCACAGCCACAAACTCTCCAACCTCCACAGGAATCCTGCACGTCCGAGTGCACCCGAGGAGGTCGGCTTGATCCACCTCACACAAACCCTCCCTTTCTGGTAAGAAGGATATTAACTAAAGCTTTCTGTTAAGCAATAAATCCTTTCTAATTAGCAACCCAAAATAAAAATGACATGTTCGCTCTGTTTCAGGCACTTTCAAGATCATAGTTTATTTACTGTAGGTAAAAAGCTAGTATACAGATTAGGGGATCCCTTAAATTTCAACTCTACAGTTATACACCATCTAAGTATTCTTGCTTTGTATAGTAACCAAAAAAGTTGCTAGACACCTGTAAGCCCCGCTATAAATCTGTGCTGTTATGAGGAAAAAAATAGATAAACCAATGCTTAATTTGTTCAATGCATAATATTTACATTGTGAAACAAGAGAAAGATAATAACAAGCAGTGGTAAAGAGGCAATAAATTTTAAAAAGCCGAAGTTTTTATATATATATATTTTTACAATAGTGTGCTAATCAACATAATTGTATATAAAAAATTAAAATATAGTAGAGCATCCTGTTACAGAAATGTTAATCACCTGAACTGCAGTCATTACTTGCTAACCATTTACATGCAACACCGTCTAGGACTGACTTTTTGTTTTTGAAGTGTAAAACAGATTATGACACTTAGGAGACAAACATTAACTCATGTACAAACAAAATTAAAAACTGCACTCAAGAATTGTACTGGTCACAAGCCTCTTCCATATGGGAGAAAAAAAAATTACAAATGATGATAGAAAGTGGTCTCTTTCCATACACTAATTATTGAAGGCAATGCATAGAGTGAAAGTACCCGGATAGCAAACGCTGCAGACCCTGGAAATAAACAGCTTTCACACAGAGGCTCTTTATAAGAGGCCTTTCCTTCCACCAAATGGTGACGACAGAGCGAGTAAAGGGGCACCAGGTGTACAACTAAGTAAATCTTGCAAAATACTAAGATGGGGGAGGTTGTTAATATACATTTTGAACTATATATACAACATAATGGAATGTATCCCATCCCAAAATTGTTTTATGAAACAACTGGACCTCTCTACACTAGCCTTATGACTCAGTTATAGTTCTAATGAAAGCATAAGTACACAGGAGATTTACACGTAAAGTGAAATTCACGGGGCGTTTAACAAGAACTATTGACAAAGCTGCTTAATGGCATTTCTGCTTTCAAAGTCATTTTGTTAAGTACAATTGAAACTTTATCTGTGCACGGTGTCCTCACAGACACTTCAATATGGAGCTTTGGTGATTTAAGAAGGCCCTTTTCTGAACTGCTATGAACTGTACTGCAGACCTGTTGATGCAGACACACATCTGCGTCAGCTAAGACTAGTGATCCAACTGCATGCACACTTCCTCCTCGAGGTGCTTCCCAAGTTAAACCACTGCAATAACAAAAACATGAAAAATGGATTAAGCCAAGTATTTCAGATAACTGCAATTTAATAGAAGTGAAATGCCAATATGGCAGTAAAACGATTTTCTGTTGCTTTTAAACAGGAAGGTCTCTTGTACCAGCAGAATCCTGTATACAGATACACAGAGAAGGAGGGAATATACCACTTACAATTCCCAAGAAATAAGAGCCAATTCATCATGTGAGAAGGTACAAATTACAGAAAACCTGAATAGTCAATAGAAGAGAAACAACTGGTTTACATGTAAGAAGAGAGAACACTTCAGTCTGATTGCAGTTACTTTGTGAAAGCTGCTACTACAGCCCACAGAACCTCATTCGTGTTGGCTTTCATACATTCAACCTCAGGGTCTAAATCCAGAAGCTGTCGCACTCTCTTGGTGGCTAAATCATACTGCTCATCCAAAAGGGGGGCAAAAGCGTTCTCCAGCACATCCGAAGCATGGGCTAAGTACACGAGCGCCAACAAGCGCTTGTCCATGCGGTGAGGGTCGTTCACCCATTTCTCAAGAACTGCTTCTTGCACCTTCTTGATGAGGCGTTGCTTGATGTTGTTGTTGGTGAGGGGGTGCGTGGTCATGTCAAAAAGGAGGAAGTTCTGTTTCTCTGTTGTCAGTACGCCTTTTTCCACTAGATTTTTAGCTAACCGCTCACGGACATTCCGCAATTGGTAGTGCAACTTTAACGGGTTCCACGTTACACCTAAAAAAGCAAACAGAAAGAAAGCCAGTCAGGCCAAGTTTAATCTGTACTGTTACTTTTTTATTATTCCCCATCCCTATGGTGCAAAACAAGCTGTCAAAATCATATAGCTGAAAACAGGTTGCTGTGCTCATGTCAGCATTTCTCTGGTTGTCTCAGACACACATGCACAGGGAGCCCCTAAGAGCATCTCTGAGGAGCCTCAGTGCACATGTAAATTTTGGACAAAAAGGCCAGCTATGTCATGTCCTTCTTAAGAATATGGCAAATATACTGAAGGAAACAGATAACAGTCATGAAGGAAGAGATTTTTTTGGTTGTTTTTAGATAAGAAACAAAGAATATCCTCCAAGCCTGACCATTTGCCTCTTCCCAGCCTGCATCACTTCAGGGACTGGAAGAGGTGTCACTGCCATCTTCTCAGCCACAAGGACGAGCTCATGCTCACCTGCCCCACATGTCCTTCTCTCTTCTTTATGCTTTTTCAGATTTACATTCTTCTCTCTCTAAGCTACTGTGTAGATGGGGAGTGAGGGCTTCAATGTTTCTACAGAAATTATTTTTACTGTTTTTTGTTAAGGCAGAAGAACCAGGCACATGCGTATGTGTGTGCTCACATGTGCGTGTGCAGGAGGGAAACACAAAACAATATAGTGTGTGTGCTTCTGATAAAGCAGAAGTTGTTAATCACTTGGACAAACCTACCTTTGGTTAAAGTTCACATAGCAAGCCAAGTGCTTATCATAAACATTAAAATCCACCCCTGATAAAAGGTAACTTACATTTTAAGATGCAAGAGATAACAAAATATTTCTTATGTAGGTGGTTTTTTCCATAAGAGATCTGAGAATTTCTGTAGCATTTGTTTTGTAGCTGGAAAGTCTTTAAAAGATCATATTCATAACAATCACAAAAAAAGAACTCTGAAATTAGTTAAGGTTTCTCCCATTGCGATGGAAGTTGATATGCAACATATTTAATAAAAAATTCAAGTTCAGTAAGTAAATAAAGTGACACGGATTGCAGAGTGAAAGGCAAAAACTCTGTGAAACCATCCAGGCCCATTTAGCACACTGAACTATACAAGTTTCTGTATGACCCACACTGTACTGAATATGATTCCCCACACTGACCATGAACAAAGCTTTTTAGATCGAATCTAAGAAGTGAAATGTAATAAAAGCAGATTTTGTAGGGTAGTGATTATTTCCTAGATGTGAGTTTTTTTTTTTTTTAATTTGTTAGGTTGCTATTTCTATATGCTAAAAAAAAAAAAAAAAAGAAAAGAAAAAAATTGTAGTGTGCTGACACCTTGTGACCATTCCCCTCAATTACACATAAATTTGCTTGTGGATATATACACAGATGTTTGTTACATTTACAGAAAGACCTGACATTCTGACCCGAATTTCAATACTCCCAGCTTGGGCAGCAGACGGGGGGGGAGGAAATCAGCCTGGCAAATGTAGCCTTAAACATCTGTGCAAATATTTCCATGTATGCAGTGTAATCTTAGGCAGTATCTTAAGCAGTATCACTGACAGTTAGATGGAGTAGCTATCTACCAGGATCAGGCGCTTAGCTAAAATTCTAAGTATTTTTTCAGTGTAGTCTATCAAAGCCCAATATAAAATACCAAAATATTTTTCTTGAAAGGGGATCTGTCTAAGTCGTGGGAAATGCAGAGGTTCCTAACCCCAACTAAGAAATAAATAAGAAAAGAGGACTGATCCAGATCTCAGCTACAGCACAAGAGATAAATACCTACCCAGAGCCAAAGCTTGGCAGCATCAGGTCTCAAGACAAACCTACAGCTTTGCTGTTCATTTGCTGACCTTCTCCTGACTTGGCACTTACCTGATGTGCTCCACACTGGGAGAAAGGTAGAATGTCAGCACAGATTGTTTCGGGGGGTAAGAATCACGCAGTGCTTTTGCAAGCTGCAAACCCGTGGCGGTTGGGCCACACGTCCTTGCTGTCATGGAGCACCTTGTTCTCCCTTCTTCCTGGCTCTCCTCACTCTGCCCGACACACAGCGGGGAGGAAGAGGCAGAGGATGGCCAGGACACGAAGGAGGAACCAAAGTGGCGGGAGGGCTGGCTCCAGTGGCACAGGGTGAATGGGAAGAACACAATCAAAACAGGAAGGCAGGAGAAATTTTGTTGGTCTTTGAAACTCTTGGGTTGTTACATTGTTAAACACAGAACATAAATTCAGGCAGACAACTTCAAACTTGTGACCCCTCACCTAGCGAAGTCACCTTGTTGACAAAACGGTGTTTTTCTTCCCTGCACAACAGCTCTGAACTAGTCTAGGGAAGCTGTATGTGGTGTGTTTTGTAAACCCGGGTAATGAGCCTATACTCAAAAAAACAATAAAAGCCCAATGATTAGTGGACAATGGATGCTGTTCATTTCAGTTTAACTTACACATCCCAAGAATACAACCATGGTAGAAGAATATGGAAAATGTTAACTACAACAATAAAGATGAAGTCTGTCTTTTCATCTTTTTGGCAACAATTTATTAGCACTTACCAGAACAACTGCATGCAAAGCACCCATCATGAAGCCTTTGGTTTGAACATCGATTCAAAAATACCACTCACATTTCATATCAGAACTGTGAGTTCCTCCTTATCAACGAAGCTGAGTACTGAGGACACGCAGCTGTACCCTGAACTTTCACTTCCACTAGCCCTCCTTTGCAATAGAGAGGGTTAGTGAGATGGAGAGCCACGTCTCCAGGGTACAGGCCTGGTTTACTTGGGGCTCAGCCAAGATGCCTCCTTCAGAGCTGAGATGTTCTCCAGCGCCTCCATTTAAATCCTCTCCATACCCAAGTTGAAGCCAAAAGTGATGGTTATTTCTATTCAATTAAAAGCTACAGTCAACAAGAGACTACTCTAGAGGAAAGACTAATGAAGTGTTTATTTCTCCACCCAACTCATGCAGCATACTCTCTAGTGATGCCAGATAATTAGTTTTACTGCAAGGGAAAAAAAATACACACACGAAAAGCAAATGCATTGTGTCTGAGTCTTACCACTGAGCAGCTCAATCCAATTTTGTACAGTTTCAGGAGGCTGGGTCTCTTTTATGTGTTTCAGAGCTTCATCAAGTAGAACATCCCCAGTAGGAGCATCTGACTTACAAATCACCTGAGGCAGAATAAAAAGCAGTCAATAATTTGACTTAATCTACATGCTGTAATCACTCAGCATTTAAGGATTAGAAAAATCTACCTGTTACCAAAACCAAGAAGAATTTAAAAGTTCTCCTTTAAGGATGCGTAAGTTCTAAAAATATCTGATAGTTAAAATAAAAAAAAAAAAAAAAAAAAAAAAAAAAAAAAAAAGGCCTTGGTTACAGAGGCTACCTTTCGTCTTAAGTTACATGTAACCCCTTAATCAACTAAAACATAGCACAAATGCACCCTTAACACCTATTTTTTAAGGAAGATAATCCACTAATGTTCCTCGCTTTCCCCTTAAAGGTCAGTACAGGGCAGCATTAAATTGCTTTCTGACAGCAGTCATCTATTGTACAGCTTCAAAACAATTTTTTCAAAGACTACATTTAAACAACTAGGTCACATGAAGCTGAGAAACCAATTAAAACCAAAAATGCAGGAAGCTGGTTTTCTTCTTCCATGATTTATGGATAAAAGCAGGTTCAAGAAAACAGCTTGGAGCTTTGCAGCTCTGAAGAACACACTGACCAGCAACACTACATTCCATTTGCTAACAGATAAGACACAAGTATTAGGCAAAATATTTATGTCATTTTATTTGTTTCCATAATTTTTTTTATATATGATGGATGCTTAAGTTTATTATTTAATAACTCCTAAAAATGATTTAATTGAATGCTTTCTCCCAGAGAAAACAGAAGGAATTTTTTTTCTCCGTAATAAAATAAGAAAAAGGAATAACTATTTGTTTACCAATAAAAGTAGTTATATAAAAGATATACAAATACTGCTTTCTCCTGGTTAGAACAGTACCAAAGCAAAACTTACTGGTTTAACAAGCAGAAGTCAGTACGTCAGTATGTTTTAATAATAACAAAACAACTCTTGCTTCTTTAGGAAAATTACTAGATATTCAAGGTTACTTGGGAAAATAATGATTAAATTTTGCAACTGAAGTACCCTTATGAGTTAGTGAAAGATAGGTTAAAAAAAGATAACAGACAACTTAAAAAGATTCAGAATAATTCAATTTGCAAAGGAGAAGCAGCAGGTGAAAGATCTGGAATTAAATTCATCTTCCAAGGAGCTGAAAAGGCGTATGCCACCAGCCTGGAAAAGTATTACATGTCCTTTTGGAACATGTTTCAGCTTTATATTTGTTCTATAATTCTAGAAATTTTTAAATACTAACAATAGGGCAATAGAACATCTCCTAAAGGGATCTGTAGACGACACTCAACTGAGAGGAGCAGGAGGCTACAACAGTTTGATAATGGCACCATTACTCTAAACAGGAGCCAGGTCTGAAGTCCGTGAGAGAAAATCAAAAAGAAATGTAAAGTCACATTGTTAGAATGCAAAAATAGAAGACAAATATAAAATAAATGATAACAAGTACACAGTTCAAAATGACAGTAAAAAAAGATCTAGCAGTTACAGTAAATGACTATGAACTCAAAAGCCAAGTCCTTTGGTAGAGAGATATAATATTCAGAAAAATTTATCAACAGTAGTATTATATAATTCTTTCTGAACAACAGATAAATGTTGAAAGATTACGTCTAACTCAGTAGATATAAAAGCAAAGAAACTAAAATTTTAGTAAAACCATCAAGAATTAAACACAATGATGCAGTGGAAGATTAAAAAGTAGGTTTGTTTAGTTCTCAAAATAAAACCTATAAGATTTTTATACCAAGATATCAACCACTAGCTAAGGGTGCCTAGCTAGGAAAAAATATTAGCTTATTTTGGAAGTATGGAAGACATAGGATATATATTGCCAAGCACTTCACAGTGAGGCTTCTGAATTGTATTCAGTGGAGATTTTTAAGATATACATCTGCCAGGGAGAGACCAGAGAAATCTGATTTTCGGTTACTGCAATAAGATTAGACTGTTAAGATACAGTCCAGATCCACACTTCTGGGAGCTGGAGATCACTGCAACCATAGAACTCTGATATTTGGTTTTAGAAACACAATTACATTCTAATCCAGACAATCCCTACTTAAAACTCAATATACAACAATTTATATTTCTTTAGTTTTATATTTTCTTTATATTTTGATTTATATTTCCAATTGACAAAGTTGTAACATGGCTGCACTCAAAACCGCTATTAACTACCTAAAAGAATATTATCTATCTTCAAGTTCTATATGAAGATATCAAGTTTCTCCTAATTATACAGGAGCATACTTGCTTCAGGCAGGACTTTCAAGTCACTAGATTCAGCTCTATCCATACCCTTCCTTTCAGATTCTTTCTTAATCTGAAAATACTCCAACAAACTTATCTTCCCTTCTTTTTAAAATGGACATTCTGGCAAACAAATATATTTTCCTATCTTTGAATTGCCTCATATGATTAATTTCACAGCAAACCTTAGTCACTGTGGATATCTTCACTCTGCTGCAGCTAGTAACCTCTTATGTATCACCCAGCTTAAAGAGATAAGATGTGAAATCATTTTATAGATCTGTTTTTATATGTCTATACAAAAAAGACTCACTTTGAAGAAATCTAACCTAGGCTTCAGAGCATTTTTGAAATAATAGGTTTAAAAAAAAATGTTTAAAATAGCTTTCCTTGCTTTTTTTAATGGGTTCTTCGAGATTTTTTTTTTATTATCACTGGAAAGGAAGTTTAAACAGATGGTTTGAAAATAATCCAGAAAGACTGCATGGGTCTAAACACACACATGTTCAGAGCAAAGAGCTGTAAGAAATATAGACTTCCATTCAACTCATCCTTTGCCTCAAACTAACTTGGATCACACATTCACGACATTCCTCTTCCCCTTCCTCTCCCCATACTCCCTTCCATGGGGAAGGGCAGCAGGGGAGACCCAGCCACCTTTCAGTGCTCACAGCTCTGCCTGTTCCAGAAGGAGGATTTACTGACCCTCCCTGCTGCATACTTCTCTCCAGAGTTTTGACACCAGAAGTCACAGTTTCCTTGTCCTTCTTGTGTTAAGGGGGTTGAGGACCTCATGAACTGAATCATCACAGAGGACCAAGCATCCACAACGATGGATTTTTTTTTTTAAATAGATGAGCTAAGGTAGAAAAAGCAGCTAAAAAGCTGATTGTGAGATGATGGTCCTCAGCCCTACTGCAAACAAACAAGAAAAACAAAAACTTTACTTATTCTAATTTTTCAGTGATCTATAATGTGCTAGATTTGCCTTGTTTCCAACTGCTGAGGATATTTCAGCTATACAGAGTATTTAATTTGCAGATTCTACCATGCAGCTTTGCAATTAAGTGATGCTAATGATTAAGCACCTCCTGTGTTGGTTTTTTATTTAAATGAGCTCTCTGCTGTTTAGCTTTAATAACCCCAAAATTAACTCAAGCACGAATCACTCAAAATTGCCAGCTAGCCCAAGGGCTTTTTCTTTTCTTTTCTTTTTTTTTTTTTTTTTAAAGCTTTAATTATTGAGTTGTTTTCTCTGTAGGGCAGAACACTCTTTTCCATCTTCAGCACCTCCATTCTTAATTACTTTATTTACACGGAATTCTCAACTTTTACTTGTTTCCAGAAGTGCTACCAGTAGGTAGAACTACGGCAGGGATGCTCTACGCTCAGGATAAATACACAAAAGATGCTGTAACATAAACCACGCCTTGCGACATTTTTACAAGTTTCAGAAAAGTTCACCACTACCTTCTCTGCCAGTTTCTCATTGTCTCATTTGCATCCTGTGACATTCAGGCATGGATTTAATCTGTCCTGACTACTTCTGAAGCTATACCTTTGAAACTGCAACAAATAATTGGTAACATCTGTTTGATTTAAGGCTTGAAAAGGAAATTCTTGTAGCTGGCAAGTTTCTAAGTCAACTAAGGCCACAGATAGATGCCTGCTGTAACTGGCTAGAAATCCAAATTTCTCCCTAAAAATGGAACCTTCTCTTCTAGTTCTCACCCATCCCCTTGTGCAGCAGTCTCCCCTAGCTACCACCTTAGGACAACATCAAGGAAAAGACTTAACTCAAAACTAAACTCATCACAGAACAAACACTGAATGAGCAGTCAGCCAGAATACTCACCTGATCGACTACATGGCTGCACAAACACTAGTAAAAACTCAAAAGGCTCCAAAACCAGATAAACGTCTTTGCAATATCAGAAGACTGGAGAGAGACAGGACAACCCTTCTCAGCTGCACCACAGTTCAAGTGACTAACGCCTATACTGCTTCTTACAGCCTGTGCCTTGAGGATGTGGGGTTCTGAGCAACAACTGCTGCTTGAAGGAGCTCCTACCCACCAAGTCCCAGCAAGGGTTAGGAGGGGAGCAGAGGAAGCCTAGCTTGAGAGGCCAAAGCTGTAGAAAACAATACTGAAGTTCCCTCCTCACTGAGCCTGGGATACAACTGGGCACCTCATTCCACTCAATGAGCACAACATTTAACTCAAAGAGACAGCTGAGGGCAAGGTAAACAATGCCTGCAAATTCCCTTAAAAAGGGGTGGAGGGAACTTGATAGTTGAGACACTAAAATTTAACAAGCAAAGAAAGAAAGAAAAAATAAAAGATTGAAATTTGGTGTTACACAATGCAAAACTTCAAGTAACATACAGAACAGTGGGAGTCATCCCCGAGAATGATTTCTCAAACGAAGGGTTGGGAGGAGATAGGGGAAAGACACATTGTATATATCAGTATCGGGGATTTTATTTGCAGGCAATTCTTTAAGCATAAATCGATCTTAATTTGGTTTTCATATTAAGTCTTTTTCATAGAACTCTTCTGCCTGTAAAAGGAAAATTCAAGATAGTCGTAACAGCAGAAGGGAAAGTGTCTAACACTGTGTCGCGTTTAACTCCTTAAACCAACCAAAAAACAACCCACTTGTAATAAATTTTTTAGAATGCAAGACAAGTTTGGCTTTTATTCTTCATTGGAGATAGGCACATATTATTTTTCCATTTTATTAAAAAGCATAGTTAAAATTTCAGTTAGACTGATCTGACAGGGTTTGTGTAGAATGAAAATAACGGCTGAAGAACATTCCTGAATGCTTAAGGAGCCAAAAGCTTTGGAGGAAAAATTTCTGTGCAAACTAATCAAAGCTGAATTACTCAAATGAAACTAGGAGCTGTTTGTCTGAACAGAGGTTCAATTCTTCAGAGCGGGTTGGAGAATTTTCAAACTTTCCATTAAAAAAATTAGCAAAAGGTAATATTGACAGGGAAGTCTGCCATAGAAATAAATTTGTTTGTGGTGAACAGGCAATACTCAACCATGTTTTTTCAATAAATCTATTTCAGAGTATCCACTAATGCCAATGAAGTAAAGACTTGCTAGTGTGACCTTTAAATATTTTACACTAAGGAAAAATCCATCTGCAGAAGAAACAAATTAAAGCCTCCAGTCTTCAGCCTATTTGCAAAAGGAATCTTAAAAATATGCTCATGCTAACATTAGTTATACAGAGCACATTTAAACCCCCAGTCCCATGAGCAAAGCAGACCCGGGCTGGCGGTCTCCGGGGCGCAATGCTCACGGGCTGCTGCCTTCGCAGGCTGCAGCTCAGCCACGTGCAGCAGCCAGGATCTCAGCTGGGCACGACTGGTGCTCCCGGCTACGGGCAACTGCGGCTGCAGCCTGCCGCCTGGGCAAGGATCCCAACAGCAACTGGAGGCACTGCTCATGATCCTTATCCCCGTAAAAACAAAGGGGAAATAAAGCTCTTTTCCTTACAAGTGCTTGTAAGTTACTGTATTGCCTGGAGCATTTTGTGTGACCGTTTTTTCTCTGCTTACCTTTCTTGTTAAGAGGCTTTTGCGCCTCATTCCACAAGCCTCCAGCTGGAGACGCCCCCGCAGTGCCAACTCGATTAACATACAGCCACGCAACCCCGAGGAGATGCAGTCATTCCAAAAGGATGTGTAACCCTGGGAAGGACAAAAGAGAGTAAGAGATTTCCCCCTACAGACGAAAATAGGTGAAAAGGACTTAGTGTCTTTTCTGCAGCCACCTTCATTAACGTGTCCTTAACACCCTAACTCAATCTGAAGCAGCACAGGTAGCCGACCACCACGTTTACTGAAAACAAAAAGGAGAAACAGACCCATTCCCAATTACTTTTAACACAGACCTTCAGAAAAGTGATACAAATTAGTACAGCAAGGTATCAGCAACTGCTAGATATTAAGTGCAGCTTATAAGTAATTAAAATAGCACAATCACATTTCTCGGACCTCAAGTGTTTGACACTTCCAGTATCACACAGGTTTATCTGTATTTCCTGAGAAATACTGAAATTATTTTACATTCATAAACAATCTGGCACCGATGAAGCAATAATAATCTGCAAACAGGATCAAGTAAAATCTATAACATACTGTAAATTATTAGAAAACTCAATCAGAAAAGTGGCAAGCAGGACAATGTACAAAACAGATTTTTCAGCTTGACTGTAATAAAACCAAAAGACAATAAAACTTTTTCAATAAAATATTTAAAAACCCACCATATGCCTATCATTTTGTCATTTAAATATCTAATATACTTAATATATTTTGGAAACTTAATGCAGACTGCTCTTATGTAAACTGCAGAACTACAAGCCCGATCTACTCTGGGAACCACAGCACATCTAACATGCTTTATCTGTATTTCTATGCTGAGGATATCTGCTCGAAGGGCAAAGCAGAGTATTTGACTCAATAATTCTATTCAATATCTAGAAACACATTTATTGACTTCTGTACTTTATTTCTTGAAAACTGTGAGGAAGTATGGTCAGTTTTAAAACTCACTTTTCAATTTAAGGGAAGCTTAATGTTCCTAAAACACTGTGACAAAAGACAAATTTATTTACAAAATAAAGGAGAGCTGAAGCTTTCACTTGCATTGGGAAGAGAACTTCTATTATGGAGTAGAAAGCATTCAACAAAAGAAAGTTACTGATACAAGAACTGTATTCAAGACAAAAAAAAATGAGAATTGATTTGTCTTAAATGATTACAGACACACCAGGTGTGAGACAGAAAGGCCTCCTAAAACCCTCCTAGCGATGGCATCTTGTCTGTAAAAACACCTACCTCGAGATGCTCTAGGGAAAGCGGCATGAAATAAGAAAAGGAGAATTTTGCCTTTCACAGGATTCTCATCCTAACCACGAATAAAGACTAGCTTGAATCATAAGCAATGCCATTCAATATACTTGCAAATAAAGGCTGCCCATGTACGGAGATACCTCAAGTATATACATCTCAAATCTCCTCGATATGTTTAGATGAATAAATCAGCCACGAAGAAATGCATGTCCTGAAATCTGCATTTCTAGGAACATGATGGTGTTGGCTTCCACATAGCAGCTAGCTGTTTGAGAACTGCGTTATTAAAAATCCAGTACTCCTGATATTGTACAAAAGCTCTGTATGTCTAGAAAGTCATTAGCGAAATACATCACAAATAATCTATCTAGAAGACTGTAAATACAGGATTGGAAAGGTGGTTAAGAGGTTTCCCACTCAGCTCTCTATTCGAAGTGTTTGTTATATTGTTATTCAAACCATTTGAATGGAATTTATTATGGAGTTTATGGAATTTATTGGAATTTATTTGGACATTTATGGAATTTATTTCCTTGTGTAGTAACGAAAATTTGCAATCTTGAAGGAAATGGAAACAAATGATCTTGAAGAGATTAAGGTCTTCATAAATACACTGTGCTTGCACTAGTGAGTTAGATGACAAAATCAGGAGAACGTTTACTGCCTTTCTGTTTACTAGTTTTTCACCAAAGTTTGGGGATTTGCAGCTGGATCGATAAGAGAAGGGACACCACCAATTTTAAAACACAGAGATAATACTGCTATTACCATGGTGAGGGAAAAGATATTTTGTGACAGAAAGCATAATCCTGAACATTTCTCAAACCATTAAATTGTCAGAACTATCTGGAAAGACCAAAGGAACTGATCATTTTCATCACTTTTTGCAAACACCTCAGATAACTGCAGGAGCTTCCACAGAAGGTTAGTTTGGCACACAACAGACTACCAAAATAATTCCTAAATTATCTCAAACCTCTTAGTGTAACTGAAAAAGGACATAAGACATTTATCTTCAATACTGCAAGCAGCGTCTTGTCACCTATCTCAAATGCACATAGTGTTAACTAGAAGACTACAGAAAAACAAGACCACTCAGCAATACAATATTACTGCTTATAAATGCTACTGATGGGCAGTGAAAAAAGAGAGGGGCAAACATGGGTAGATTGACATGTGTATAGAGTGGGAGAACAAGAAAAAGAAGTAGCTTTCTTTATTATTAATTTCTTGAATTCTTGAAGTAAGAATTCAACTGTTTCTACAGAGAAGCAAAAGAAAGTTACAAAATATGAGTTAAATTCATAACAGATTGACAACAAGGTTTGCTAGGCAGTAATGACAGGGTAAGCCAAGTACAGTTTGGGCAGCCCCTTCGCCCCCGCTGGGAAGACAGAGGAGTCACTCTGAGCAAGCCCTTTTGCCAGGTATTCCTTAGTTGGTAACAGGATATAGGAAACAGACCAGCAAACTGGTCAACACCATTCTTGTATTGTTCACAGGCATTGTATTTAGGCATTCAAACGCCTAAAACTCTTCAAACAATGTCCTGTGGACAACAAAGATGACTACTTAGAGATGCAAGTCATCCTACTATTCAATGCTACTGCACAGCACTAGTGTTCCCACCCACATAACACCAGATAGTTCTGCTTTAGCAATCTTCCTACGTGCTGTTATGATCTTGTAAACATCCCAACTGAATAAAATACTTATTTCATTAAAATTGAAGGGCAGCAGGAAGGAAAAGGATCTTACAAGGTAGAGAGTTATTTTCATCTGACAGCAGCCACATCAGAATAGCACTTTAAGATAGGAATAGCTCACAAAACATTAAATCTATGTTGATTCAAAGATCATAATAATGTTTACAACTGTCATGTTTATTTACACAAACACATCACAAAGCATTTCTTCTTCAAAGTAGACCTAGAAATTCTAAAATAAAAGCAAATTTTGCTAGAGAATAATAATGTGAAATAAAAATAAAAAGTTCATAATTGGTATTTGTTACACTATAACTTTGAAAACTCAGGCAAGCATGGCAAAGAATTAAGAGAATCACTTTCTGCCTACAGTTATTCAAAATCCATGTTCATTAGAGCATGTTTCCCACCATCTCTTGCAGCATTTATTCCCCTTCCCTGCTTCTCACACCCAATCCACAGCTCATCCAGGTTTTCTTTCAGATCTGCAGAGAGGGACCTGGGTGTCATGGTGGATGACAAGCTGACCATGAGGCAGCAGTGTGCCCTTGTGG